TTCGACACCCGCTACGCCAGGCCGCACCAATTATTACAGAGCCTCAAGCCGAACGTCCGACACAAGCCGTTCACAGAAGGCGACACAATCTTGGTCTGTGCTCCAGGTATGTCTTCGTCTCATTGGCATCGTTCATAAATTCATTAACGACCATAGCCGCTGTCGTCTGCCATTGGAGGATTTCAAGCAGCATCAGCTTCAACACGCTTCAAGTCGGTGATCGTTGCTAAATGGGAAGTCAGTCTCTTTGAAACAAAGGGAAACAAAGACAGCTTTCACTCTGTTTCACCACCGCTTCGAGCGCGTCTTTGTTGATGTTCTTGGGGGTGTAAGAAGGTGAGCCTGCGTTTTCTCATCCGTTGTGCGCTGACTTACCCACAGTGGTCTCAAGACGAATATTTGTCCTCGTTTCGAGGCATGGCTGGCGACTGTCGCCTCGTAGATCTCACCCACTACGGCGCCGCCAGGCGGCACCTGTCCTTACGGCGCCTCAAGCCGACACATCGCCGCCTCCTTGACAGGAGGCGGCGACGCGGTCTCGGCGGTAGGGTATAGCCCACCAGCGGCCGACCTCACGGAACTCTTCACGGCCCCCATAATGCAATCGACGTCTCATCCTGGTTTTTTTGTCACACGCCGCTCGCGCCCTGTCCGTGTTGAATCCAAACGCGTTCGTGAACAGTCTCGCACAGACAACCGACAATAGCGCACGGTTCCGCTGCAATTTCCTATCCATTTCCCAGATATATCTGTCATCTCGACGACAACCCGAGCTCTTCCGCCACTTCTTTCGATAACATTCCCTCAAGACGACCACGGAGGTGACCTTAAATGCGTGAACAAGTAGCGGGACGTTTTGGTGTAAGTCGTGTCGAACTTGAGTGTGTTGTGCTGATCTTCTCGATTTAGGCTGTCTCTCAAGCATTGCCTCCTTGGCGGATTCTTGAGTTGGCCGTTCGGAATTGGTGGGTATTTCATGCCCGCCTCTAATCTGAGTACGACTAAGTCTCTCTGGTAGGGGATTGTCCGTGTCCATGATGGTGTTCACGCCTCGTGGGCAGCTCCTATCGACGTAGTTGCACGATTTTGTTGTCAAGTTCAAAGCGCCGGCGAATTCATCTTGCGGATGGGGCGGGTTGGCGGGATCATGATCTCAGACGATTATGCCGGCAATATCTCTTCGTGGATCGACGACTAAAGGCGCGATCCCTCAATTATGAAGGCTGTCGCTGCCCTCGCTGCTGTTCGGTGAGTCTCATCAAGTTTCATGCTCGCACTATTACTTACCTTACCTCCTCAGGTTCGACTTCAAAATATAGTACTATTTCCTGGACGCCGAGTGTGGCGGTTCTTACTTGGCCATCACCATCGGCGGGACATTGGGCGCGACGTTGGGGCTCACGGACGCCGACATGCGAGATCTCTCATTTATTGATGGTTACAAACTTCTGACCTTTGTTGATTTACTATAAGATTGATCAAGATATAAATACAGAAATTACAGTACGGCCAGCAAAGCGACCACGAACGACGACGGAAACACTTACCAGGAGAGTTATGACCCAATCTGCGTGTTCGGAATCCCAACGACGCTCACGAAATCGTCCAGGATTCGCTCCCAACAAGGAACTGCCCAAATGCAATGCAGAAGGACAGGCTATCAACCCCTTTCATACAGACTCACAGAAAAAGCCTTCTTTTTCCCAAAAGGATGTCACGACGTCCCGATACTCGACGACGCGTGCCGCTGCAGCATGGGAGTTGTTCACAAAGAGAATATCTGCGTCATACGTCGCGTCGTGAAACGTGCATTTGACCACCGTCGCGCGATTTATCTTGGCAGCGCGCGCGTAGTTCGGAGAGGTGAACGGTGCCCATGCTAGGGTTAACGTGAAATTGGGCCAGGCGAGCGTATGGAAGTCGGTGTCTCCTAGGACCATAGCATACCCGCCGAGCTCTAAGGTGACGTTTAAGCCCCAGTCGCCGAGACTTGCTTGCTCGTTGGTAGGAGAGGGATTGAACTTGTTTGCGCTGTTTTGCGGGATTCTGCGCACATGAGACCTGGGTCATCGTCCTGAATTGTGTAATTGCAGGATGTGCCGCAGTTGGCAGGGGCGGCCCAGGGAAGAACGTTTCCCGACGTCATTGGTTGCTGGACAAGGCTGCGCCAGCGTTAAACGTTAGGAGGTGGAGAGGTAGTTGTCATCGACGCGCCGCAGAGGCTGTAAGCCGGACAAGCAGCACGCTGTGCCGCAGATTTCAGTCTTGCCCTTGACTCCCGACTTCAGCGACGGCGGGAACGTCTGTATGCGCGCCCTTACTTCACTATACCATCTATGTGCTTAGAAGGATTTGAATATAACATGGAACCTGGCGCGATCATCCCGATATGGTATGTAGCGGAAACGCCGCATCCGCCCTTCTGTGGCCGCTTCTCCGCCGTGCTTCTAATCAAACCAGAAGTGAGGATCTACTCTATGGAAGCACTTGCTTACTTTCCGAAAGCAATGGTTCACTCAGTCAAAGTGGATGCTCACTTTGTGAGACCAAGGACTCACCTGGAGAAAAGTAGCCCTCCACTTGTTGAAGTACAATCTTACTTGTCAAAAGTGCGGGCTTACTTCGAAAAGTGAGCAGAAAAAGCAACATTTCAGGCTCTGTAAAAAGTGGAATTATTACCCAGTATTACCACCAAACAGAATCGACCAGCTGTTGCTACAGAGGCCCCATATTCAAGATACGCCTCAGACAAACAGTACGGGAGCAAAGACTTCAATGCATTCTGCCATGCAAGAGCAAGGTTTAGTCTATGCGGCTGACGGGGGACCGAGAACGCGAACAGGATGGCGGTGGCGGAGGACCGCGAACAGAGCACGTGATTAGAAATTTTCCAAAAACAGGCAGCTGGCAGTTAACATGGCAGTTAACATCCGGCATGGCAGTTAACAACCCAGTGTATCGATCGGTAAATCCGTAATAGGTGTAATAGGGTAGTGGAAACAACCTAGGTTAGCATACCGAGAGGTTGTTTCCCGGTAAATTACCGGTTATTTACCGGTTCGTAACCTCAGAGCCCGGGAGCTAGGTTATTTACCTCCACGTGACATTTTCACGTGATCTGTGGCGCACAAATTCGGGAATCGGGAAGCTTGCCGCCATTGGCACTAGGAGAAATGCCACCACAACAACTTGTTAAGAAAATAAAAAATGCTAACAATTGGGGAGCTGAATTCAACCAAAATTCAGCACAAGAGCACTCCGATAGGTTGCCAACTCTGGCAGCTCAAATCAGGCTCAACAAAATACAGGGTTCAATTGGCTTAGAATGACATGGGACATCTGGAAAATGCATGTTGTCTATGTAGTTCTACAGTAGTCCCATATCAACTATAGCACTCATAGGTTACCCCCCGTTATATAGAGCTCCATAGAGCGGGCAGTTCTACCATAGTTCCCGTGCCTGTTACTATGACACTATGGTAATATGGTGCTACAAGCACTACAGCCCTACAATGATACACCAATGCTATTCTGAAAGATCCTCTTTCGAGGTCAATGGCATTCTGCTGGGTTACCAGTACCTATGCATTCAAATCCCCCATTCGAGCTAGCTGATTTCTTCGCTACAAGCTTTACTGCCAAGGATGGAGAATAGGAGAAGAAAGCCATGACATTCAAATATATACGACAAAGCCTAACTACGACAGAGCTAGAATATCGAACGTGAGGGAGACATAGTACTGATGGTAGACTGTGTACGGTACAGGTCCGACTAATAATAATATGGACATGTAGGCGTGGGAGGGCCCGGGAGATGTGCACTAAGGCGGGGGCGTGTACGTATGACAGGGCTCTTACGAGCGTCGTCGGGGAGTGGGGGACTGCGCCGAAGCACTAGAGGTGGCTGGGTTGCTGTGAGATGGGACACGTGTTGGTAGGAGGGCCTTCCTGCGGGCAGCTGCAGCGAGCAAGAATAGCGCCGAGCTATTGGGTTTTGGCGGCTGCGTGGGGGTGGAGAACGCCTGGCACGAAGTCGTCGTGCTGCTTGTTTTGTGCTGGGGGCAATGTTCGGTGTGATGGTGGGCGGGAGCGTGGGCTGGGACAGACTGACGGGCGGAGGTGATCCAAGCAGGCTTTTAACGGAGCTGTCCTCTGAGACTGGGTCGTTCCGGAGGTCGCTGCGTCATCTGCAGCGTTTTTGGGATGAAGTCGGGTGTCGATTGGTCCAGGCCTGATGTCGTAGTGCTGAAGCAACAGTATTAGCAAAGAAAAGGATGAAGGAGAGTAGTTGAACTCACCAGCTGTAAGCGAAGAGTAGTAGACGGATGTGCGTGAGTGGATGCCGGGGCGTGTTGGAGTAGTGCATGGAGTAGTTATAGAAAACAGATTGACGGACTTAGCGAAAAAAATGAGACTGACCGTTCCCGGTATCCGTGCGCGGCGGCGGTGCGCCTGGGGCCTGGTCCATCATTGCCTGTCATGAGGTGACGGGTGCTATAGCACTACGATGGCTATCCCACGCTTAAAATCCGTGATTCCCGACGACTCACCGTGACTGCCATCATTCTCGTGAAATATTCATTTCATGATGATTTCCGTTTGAATTCTGTATCGTGCTGTAGCGTCTGATAGAGCATATAGAAAATAGAACTATGGTAGAAGTCCCTCTGCTATGTAGTTCTACGTAGCCAGAAGGCATTTCCAGATGGAGAGAAGGAGAGAGAACTACATAATCAATATTTAACTGTGGTGGCACCAAGAAAGTGGGCATGAGGCCAAAGGAGAGAGCACACACAGATAACAGCAGGCAAAGTGACAAAGTCGCTGCCCGCGAAAAGGTCACGTGAATATATCACGTGCCGGTAAATTACTGTCTTCTGCTGGGCGGGTAGGTAAATAACGGTTATTTACCACCCCCAGAGGTTATTTCCACGACCCTAAGGCGTAATACTGCGCCACTAACGCGAGTAAAACAAAAAACCCCCGCGGATCAAAAAGGCTGGCCCGTATGGGGGTCGAACCCATGACCTTGGCGTTATTATTGGCGTTATTAGCACCACGCTCTAACCAACTGAGCTAACCGCCCATGTCTTCGTTTTACGTAACTCTTACACATACCTTTCTTTTTTCTATGCCTTGCTCTTCCCACATCTCCATTGGCATCTTGGCCATGGGGAAACTTTCTCTCCAACTCGTGTCTACGTTGGTCTTGTCGGCTCTTGGAAGAGCAACGACGGCGCGTCCTTCTAGGACTATAAAGGATGTGACTTCTCGGGGCTAGTCTATCCTTCATTCTTAATCGCAATTTCGAACATGCCGTCCATCTCTCACGCAGATTCCGTGATCCTTGTGACGCCGGGCGCCAATGGGTTTTATCGCGACTTGACTGGTTGGCGAGCTGCAGTACGAACGGAGGCTAAAGGCGGTAAACTCTTGGAACTATACAAGTCCTGCGGTGACAAGTTGAAGATTGTTGCTGTTGGTGACATTCGAAAGGTCGGCATCTACAGTCATCGTGTAGGGATCCTTATTCATCAGCGTCTTAGGGAGACGCGTTCAATGAAGCAGTCAAGGACGTTGAAGGGATCATACACGCGGCTTCCCCGGTGCAAGCACAGACCCGAAAGGTAAGCAGGTGCTCTTCAATATGATATCAGCCATTGATTGCTCATTCGTGGTAGAGTTAATCGATCCCGCTGTCGGAGGTGCAGTCTGCAATCTGAATAGTGCCTTAAAGTACGCGTATGTCTTTCCTTCCTTGATGCATAATCGTGCCTATCGATGCGTGCTCTAGCAAGAACTTACAACGTTTGGTCTTCATTTCATCTTGTGCTGCCATAAGATACTTTTCCTTGGAGCCTGTCACCCTTTCAGAATCCGACTGGAATACCCAAGGAATACCTCGTCAAGGAATGCACTAAAAGGGCGTCGATGCCGACGGTCTATCAAGGTGTGTCGTTTGGCCGTGATTTGTTCACACTCTCATATATGACTTGAACAGCCGCTTGGGATTTCATGGACAAGCGCCAGTCGGAAATTAAGTGGGACATGGTCGTGATAAATCCGTCTAGGGTTTTCGGTGTAAGTTTCGGTTCTGCGTTATCGGCTACATATCTTCTGAATACGCTTTTAGCCTTCTGTACACATGAAGTCACCTCATTGGAAACGTCATCTGCTTCTACGCAGATGTTGTACGGTGCCCTCGTAAAGGAAGACTTCGGTGGCTATCCACCACTTTACGCGCCCGGGCATGGTTTCGTTGATTGCCGCGACGTATCCGCCGTTCTCGTCAAGGCTCTCGAGAAGCCTGAGGCGAGTGGGGAACGAGTGATTGTTACCGCCGGATCTTGGGTCTGTCAATACAGTGCGTGCTTTCCTCCATCGTCTCGAGGTCTTTCTAAGGAGTAATTAGTGAACGTTGCTAACGCCCTCTCACCGTGTCCCTATTCCAAGCCCATCGGGAAAGGCACACCTGGTGAAACGGTCCGAAACATCACCTTCAATACCTCGAAGGAAAGGAGACTGTTTGGGGTGGCCTTTAGAACTCTATCGGAGCTCTCACCAAAGATATGTTGACTGAATTCGAGGCCCGTGGGTTCTAGTGATAGGCGTTGTTGTAGCCGTACAATTTCGCTTGTGCAGACAAATCAATGGGCCTGCCCTGCACTCACCGCCTGCCTTCCGATCGCGTTCGGACTTTGCGAGGAGTCCGCGGACTTGGTGGGCCCACATTTGCCTTATCGGTTGAACCGAAACCTAAGAGCGCTGATCTGCGTACGTACGCTACCCATTCAAGCGGCAGTTTCCACGCAGCGCACGGCAGTGAAGCAAAAACGCACGCGCGAGTTGCTGATCTGTGTTTGGCTCAATGGCGTTGCTGCTTCACCGCGAACGGACAGGACCCTTTGAACTTTGACACCCATGTGCATTGCTGGTCGTCCATTCTCTAAAGGTGGGTACTGATATATGATACCGCGTATTGAGGCTCTTCTCATACATCACGCCCTTCTCATCTATCGGCCACAGTCACAGTTTTTGCCGTCAACGAGGTTGATTCAAGGAAAATAAATGGTCGACCACGCTGTGGTCAAAGAGCCCATCCCCTCCCGCCTCAGGATGTTCGGAGCGTCTTCACGTCGAGAAGGCGAAGAATTTAAACTCCCGAAGATCTCTTCCATGGTCATAATCTTAACAGCCAATATGCTCTTGCAGGTTTGTTTGACACTTCAGTCCCTGGGTCCAATTCCTGATTTTTTGACAGATTTCTTTCTTTATTATCGTGTCGTCGTCCAACGAGTATGCTAAGCATCTGGGCGGAGACTCAACTTTTTCTGGTATCGTCATTGGGATACCGACGGTATTTTCTGGTCTCGCCCTGATACCCATGATGAAATTTGATCAAGGTGACTTCATTCCGTATCGAAAATCTGACATATTGATATGTGGCGCAAAGGGCATTACAAGCTGCCCCTTCATGTCAGCTGTGGTGCATCAATCGTTGGACACGTCCTGTATGCATCAGCATACAAGGCCGACTTCCTTTATCTTATCCTCATTGGGAGAATCGTTAGCGGCCTCGCGTTTTCCATGTAGGTCTTCAGGGTTCATTGGAGTTAATGGGGCATTCATATACGGCAGGTGGATGTATTGCAAACGCTATTGCTCGGATGGTCGTTTAGTTGGTATTCGGCAGCGCACTACCCTTGCGGGCTGGCTTGTACTCGGTCAAGGTGAGAAGGCAGCTCTCAACGCCACCGTCGCTCACCCGCGACGTACAGGCATTGGGATGAGCGCTGGTCCCTTCTTCGGAGGGCTATTGACTAAAATTGGCTTTGCTGATGCGATCTTCAACGGCTACACGAGTCCCGGCTGGATAATGGCCGCTGTTTGGGTTGTTTTCTGGATATGCGTCTATACCTGGTTCGAAGACGTTTCCGAAAATCCCGACATCATCGTTGCAGACGTGATTGTTCTAGCGAATAAAGGAGATTCCGTGGAATCGCCGCCGCCAGGCTCCCCAGAACCACGGCCGACCATGACACTCGCGCAGTGGGGTGTTGTTGTGTGTATGTGTTGGTTCGCAATGACATGCTTCTTTATCCTCGGTATGTCCAAAATACAATCCTTCCTCCTCGCTAATATCTAACTCCTACAAGGTGCATGGGAGTCAAACATTCCTGTTTTTGGAGCCTCCGGAAAGCCGCTGCGCTTCTCTCCCTTTGGCGCCGGTAATTTCATTGCACTTGGAGGAATAACGACATTTCCTTTCCTCATCGTGAACCTGCTCCTGGCGCGCCGACTTCAAGACCGATACATCCTTCTCTTGGGGTCCGCTTTAGGGCTTACGGGACTCGTCATATTCATTTCACTCCTTGCATCGAACCGTGTTAATTATGGCAGCATGTTCGCCTGCTGGTGGCTCATCGCACTCGGTTTCAATTTGGCAAGTACGGTAACCGTCAGCTTGTTGAGTAAGCAGCTCCCGCAGGCATGGAACGGGCGGACATCACTCGCAATACAGTACAGCAACTACACAGGACGAGTATCGGGCGCAATATGGGGAGGGAGTGGTCTGACCGTAGGCATGTTAAACTATACTGGGTTGGAGATCGCCATTACAGGAGTCGGCGCAGTTCTATTTACAGTCTTAATGGAGGAACTTGAAAACGAAGACGGGATGATAACCATCTACTTTACCTGTTCACTTGTATGCCATACCCTATGATACCAGCTCCTCACTAGCCGACGGTTTCGAGCCTCAGTCAAGGGGCAGAGTCATTCGGCCCTTGTAAGAAACCATCGCTGGACAAGACCGAATAAATTTGGGAAATATTGCACCGGTACCACATCTATCTGGTCCACTTACCCTCAAATCGCGCTGTTGCGTTCAATGCGTGGGAAGGAAATGCCATTTACATTTCAAACTCCGACGATACCATGGTATCGAGTTAACCATCATGTCCTCGAAATGCTTTGATCATGATGTAGGATTCTCTTCTCTGTGCACTGGCAGGAACTGATTCATCTAGCCCGCGGATAATCTAGATGGCCTTCCAGTCGATGATATAACTACCCTTTCCCGTAAACTTGAACGCTTGGATACCGCCATCCTTCGTCAATATTCTCAAATCCAATCTCTGCATCAAATTCACAGGCAGAAAACGCGCAGATTGACCCGGCGACTTTATGAGTTGCGGAAACATCGGAAACATTATAAATGTGCCATACAAGTGGCAATAGAAACCCAGCACCCATCGCCTCCGAGTCCTTCCCCGCCTATCCCATTAGATCCAGCCACTATCACCCCATTAGATCCAGCCACTATATTACCCCCTGAACTTCTCGCAGAAGTCTTTCTCTACGCTGCTGCTGGTGAAGGAACTTCCGCTTATGACGAGCTTGAAGTGGCCCATAGCACGCCATGGCTCCTCAGTCATGTATCGAGTCTCTGGCGCAAAGTCGCTGTATCATCTCCAGGCCTTTGGTCCCACTTGGTGGTCGATGAGAGCGATAATAAGCCAGAACAATGGACGGAAGGACGTTTGTGGCTTCTCGACGCCTTCTTGGAACGCTCCAAATCTCATCCCCTTCATGTTACGCACATTGCCGACTTTGATACGCAAACATTTTTCCAGATACTACAGCCCCGCGCTTCTCAGATCTACTCTCTTGAGCTCTCCATGCTCGAAAGCGTGGAAAACGCTTCGGCCTTGCACGAGCTCGCCAGTACAGAACTCCCGGCCTTGCATACATTATCTTTGACCGTGGAGGGCCCACTTTCTCATGCGTCATTTAGAGAGCAGGTCAATCGAGTGTTCCCTCCGGATCCTCCGACGGGACAGCTCTTCAGACATTCCAAGTACCTTTCGGAGGTGTCGCTGTATGGGGTTTCACTCTCCGCCTTCCCGCTGCCACTTGGGCAGGTCACGACATACAGTGGTGATCTTGTAACTTCGGAAGATTTCATTCTTCTCTTCCAGACGGCTACGAAATTACGCTGTGCCGTTTTGACCTTGTATGCGCGCGTAGTCCACGAGCGCGACGTGATATATCATACTTCCCTCGAAAGGCTATCGATCTCGAGCG